ACTACCATCGCCACCATAGATCTGCCCATGGCAGAGGCAGCCTGCCTAGTAGCACGGAGAGCAAGATCCGTGGTGCGGCACAACTCCGCCATCTCGTCAGAAGAAAGGCCCTCATCTTTATCCAGGTCTTTCAGCAGATCAGCCTGGTATGCTTGGAGCACCGCCATTGTGTGCAGCGAAGCAACAGCCTGACCTGCTGCTGCGTATGCCTTGCCATTCAATTTAGATGTAGCTTGAAGAGGTATGGATGGCAAGGAGGGAGTTTTGAGAGACAATGTCTCTCCCATAGAGAGATTGCTAGCTAGCGTCTCTTCTACAGGGGGCATTCTCTCATAGCCATTTTCGCGCATCGCCTCGATATTCGCATAACTGGTATGCTGAAACCGATGGATGCGTGAGGAAAACGGCCTTTTCCATTCCTTCTCGATCTCAGTATGGAGATCAGGAAGGAAGGCTCACCTGAGCTGGAGGGTTATGGCCAGATCCATAACCTCTAAGAGCTCATCATACGCAGGGCAGGAGGATTGAGAAGGCTCAGCCTCAGCCTCAGCTTCTTCGCTCTCTTCATCCATTTCGACGCAGTTCGAGGTTCCCATGAAAGGGAACCATTACATGCCTTTCTATCAAAGTTATCTGACATTATCAAGCTGAATTTGTTCTGACTCCGTTTAACTCTGAGTTCTTGTCATATTTTATTACCATGTTCTACACTATAGTGAATAAACTGTTATAATGTGAGAAATGTTGAAGGTGTCTGAATAAATGTAGGTTTGACTGTATCTATTTGATAAATGAAGTTAACCAACTAACATTACACACACCCTTTTGGTTTCTGTACCCAATATTTAAAAAATTTACAAATGCAATAAAAATATTGGTATCGGTACTTGGTATCGGCAAGTACCAAAAATAAAAGTATCGGTATCGGGCGAGTACTGGAAAAAGTGGTATCGGTGCATCCCTAGTTCTTGTACAATTAGATGTTCACTCAAAATGACAGTAAATGTCACATTGCAAAGTAATAGGGCTTGTGAATGCCATTTCATATTAGTTATTTTTTCAATGGATCGGTTAATAATAATAATATAATTAAATACCACTGTTCTTTTGCCACATTGAAGATTATGGCTTGTGAATGTCATTTCATACGTTTTATTTCAATAAATTGGTTTATTATTATTATTATTATTATTAATAGTATTAACAATGATAAATGTAGTTTTTATTGGTTTTGAAAAGTACAGTGGGAATGTTGTTTGTATTGGTTGTACAGTGGGAAAAGTACAGGTATAGTAATAATGAATATCATTATAATTCCCACTGTCACTTTATGCACGTTAAATTGCCCTGTTTTTCTGCAGGGGATCTCACCAAAACGCTGCCGGTCAGTGTGGTCGCTGAACACGCTGAGAAAGTGATCCAGTGCCGGTGGCACACCAGAGACCTGTCCTTCCTGTCCTCCTCAGCCGATAAGACGGTCACACTGTGGGCATATCAGCCTTAACCACAGCAGAAGCCAAACACCGGAGTGAACGAGTGTGTCAATGTGTGTTTGTTTGTATTTCTTTGTAACTTCAGTACACTCACATGAGGGAAAAAAAGAACAGCTGTTGATTCTCAGTCCTAGTCATGTCTACATCTGGAATCGCATGCCTACTGGAAGAAACGGCTTTATTGTCAAATATATTGCAATTCAGAAACAACTAAACCACGGAAAAAGCCACGCGTAGCATTGCTTCTATATTTTGCTATTTCAAGTGAACGAAACTGAAAATGTGAGCTGAATTGTGCCTTCAGGTGATGTTCTCTGTAGTTACACTTCTTGAACTGAATGTCTTGTAAATATGAGCTTTTGTATAGGCTTAAACGCTAAATTATAAGATCATTGTATAGCACACTGCACTATAGACTTCACTCACTGAGCCACTGTTTATGCCGCATGAATAGTCATGTCTTTATTTAAATCAATCTAAGTGACGCAACGCTGCGTAAATACTGAGGATAAAAGTTTGGTGAAAGTCATCCTCCTCTGTTAAAATGGGTTCAAGCATTTTTAGGAATGCTTTTATTTTGGATTGTCATTTTTCCTCATGCATATATTTATATGCATAATATGCATCACTTTTGCACATAAATTGAGCACCTTTTTGTATTGATGCAGAGGACAGTTAGTGGACTCTCTCAATCACTTGACGTACAAAGTGTGTATTAGTAATTTATTTGAACATGGAAATAAACACAGTTTTGGAAACTATGGGATTTAGCGTGATGAACAGTTCACTGATTCTTCTACATTCATTTTTTTGAAACATTTTCATTTTGAAATGAATCTGTGATTGTCACTGTGATGTTGTGTACACGAATGTACCATTTAATTTATTTGATCAAAATTATATCAATGTAATGTTTTAATCATTGATCATTATTATGTGTTTATATTTCATAAATTAAAATGTATATATAATCATAATTTCTGAAATATAAACTTAATATTATAATGAAAACAACAAAAACAATCATATCTTTATTCAATGTACGAAATAAACACCAAATAATAAAAAAAATTATCATTTATATATAGAGAACTATATATATATATATATAATGTTTTAATCATTGATCATTATTATGTGTTTATATTTCATAAATTAAAATGCATATATAATCATTTCTGAAATATAATCTTAATATAAGGAAAACAACAAAATCATATAACAATCATATATCTTTAGACAATGCACGAATTAAACAAAATAATAAACAACACTTTTATCATTTATATATATAGAGAGAGAGAGCTATATATACAGTGGGTACGGAAGTATTCAGACCCCCTTAAATTTTTACATGTGATATTTCAGTTTTTCTTTTTTAATAAATCTGCAAAAATGTCAACAATTCTGTGTTTTTCTGTCAATATGGGGTGCTGTGTGTACATTAATGAGGAAAAAAATTTACTTAAATGATTTTAGCAAATGGCTGCAATATAACAAAGAGTGAAAAATATAAGGGGGTCTGAATACTTTCCGTACCCACTGTATGTGTGTGTGTGTGTATGTGTATACATTTATTTACTTAAAAAAAAAAAAACTAGGTCCTAACAATAGGAAAATGCTAAATAAAAATACATATACAGCCATTATACGTTTTTTAAAATACATTCATTATACGTTTTTTTTAACAGATTTTTTCTTTTTTTGCTGTCCATTTGTTTCAGAAAACAAGGTTGAATTTGAGATATAACACTGTCCGCTTGGGGGCGATGAGTGCCACATGAAGTTATGGAGTTGCTCCAACGAAGAAAATTCTTCACAAATGCCTGCACATAGATGTGAGTACATAGAATCCGTATTTGAGGTTTTGGCCAATTACGGTTATAGATCTGGGTGTGTTTTTCTATGTGGCGGTATATGACAGCTGTCTTCCAACATGTAAGGAAATGTTTGGTGCCTAGTTGGATTAATATTTTTTAGTTAATCTATATTGTCATTATTTAGCCATCAGTGTGTAACTTTCAGGCGGCCAATAGATTTTAGTATATTTCATTTAGTACATTGTAAGGCAATGTAGGATAAACAGATTAACATATGATGTTAATAAACAAAGTGTCCAAGATAGCTGAATCTGAACTTTATATATACCATTCATAATAATCGGTCAGTATTTGTTTTACTAGTAAGTCTGAGTTTTCTCGTTGTTTTCTGTTCCAGCGGAGATTATGAAGGAGCCACGCTGGTCGTCGTTTGGGCTCTGGAGTTTGTTTATTTGTTGTAGCCTGTTTGTTATCGCGAATGCTAATATCCACGAGGACGACGATGATTGGATCGATCCATATGACATGCTCAACTACGACCCAACGACAAAGCGCATGAGAAAGCCCTCGGAGGTGTCGTTCAAATGCGTTTATTAAACCATATGTCCGTTTACTGATGTATTAACTTACTGTGCATGCGGAACATTTAAATCCCTCTTCTGTTTCTCAACATTGTTTTCAGTGCAAACAGACTGCATTCAAACTTAGCAGTTGTAAAGCTACGTATTTTAAGGTTTTACGCACTTTTTGAAAGGGATAGTCCTCCAAAAGTGAAAGTTCAGCGACTAAGTTACTTCTTTCATTTGCAGACCATAAGTCCTTATCGAGCTCGTGCAAACCTAAACTGAAATTTCTTTTAATTATTTAGCGAAAAACCTGTTTAAAGGGCGATCACAGTAGAGAAATGATGCTTGCAAAAAGTTATGTTTTCTATTGTTAATAGTATAGCCATGTATGGAGAACAGCTCACGAAGAAGTCAGGTTCTGTTGGTCAGCGATACAGTTTTCGATATGATACCGATATTTTTCAAGGCAGTATCGTCGATACCGATACGATACTTCTGAACTAAACTTTTAAATGATGAAATTTATTAAATTACTAAGAGTAAAATGGGTAATGATAAGCACTAAACTTTGTTTAAAACACATTTTATCATTCAATATGCCTTAATTGTAATTTATTAGGTTATATTTTTGTTTACACATGGTTCAAATGTGTTTTTTTTTTACACATGATTCAAATCTACAAATACTACAGTTGAACTACGGTCATTTTAGTAAAACAATGGTTCATTTTCATAAGGGACTGCCAGTGACCGGCTTTTGCATTCATACAATGCAACCTTTTTGTTCTTACATTGTATGATTTCTATTAACATTACAGAATAGAACATGATCTATATTATCTTTCATAATGTAATTGTACAAACTATGTAGGCTACGATTTCAGTTTGTTTATTGTGAAATAACTCTGTCCTTCTGTCCTCTGATAAGCATTGTTCAGGGCTGCCGTTCCCAAAAGCTTTAATGCTTTCTTATGATACTTTTGGTAAAAGCAGCCCTGTTTAAATGCACTGTCAGCAGTGAGTGAACTCTCTCTGTGATTGATTGGTTCTGTCTTGCAACATTTGCGTGTGTTCAGATGAGCAGGAAAATAGTTCTATCCTACAAAATTACTTGCAAACAAAGGTTATTCGTCCAATTCAATGCATTTGTATGCATTGTTATTATTATTTTAAATAAACAAAATCACTGGTAAATAAAACACACCTTAGTATCGATATTTTTAGTTTGAGTATCGATACTTTCGATACTCGCGTCAGTATCGATATATCGATACTTAGGATCGATACGCCCATCCCTAACCTGAAGCCATTGCGAAATCTGCTTGTGGAAGTCTTTAGTCCTGGCGTGATAACGTTACTCCAAATCACCAGAATTCCTTTTGAAATTGCTGGATTTATCTGGCGAAAATTTGTAGAACAACAGTAAATATAACTGAACCTTAACTCAGTTCAACAATTTCTTTCGGACAGTTCAATTCACCTTTAGCCAAGTCAACAACTCTCTACCTCACTGAACACCTTATACTTGACATGTCAACAAAGTGTGATTCGTCTTTTGTCACATAAGGCCTTGCAAGCACTGTCATTTTTGCAGGAAACACAAATCTGCATCATATTCTAACTTTTTTTGTTTTACAGTCTGCCAGTTACCCAAATGTGCCAACCAAGAGAAGGGAATTCAGCTCCGAATCCTGTGAAGTGCAACAGTGTCCTGTTGTGTCTGAGTGCACCCGTAAACTAGAGATTTTGCAAAAAGAGGTGGAAAAATATGGAAATATACCTTTGTTTAGTAGGTCTCAAAAACAAAATGGTACTGCCATGTTTTTTGGTCATGGTACAGTGGAATTACCCTGGTATTTTTTAAGTACTGAAGACTAGTATTGTACCATTCAGCACTTTGAATAACTGAAAATAAATGTTCATTATTATTTCTTGTGCTATCTCTTTTTTAGTTTGATGAACAGAAAAAGAAGGGGACCACCTCTGTAAACCCAGTATGTCTTCCAGTATTCAAGCGTTTTCTTACCAAACTCCTTAAAGAAACTTCAAAACTTGGCCTGGTATGTGACTCTGTTTTCTCCAGGGAATTCAATTGACATTCATCTACATTGGTGAAGGTTTTTCATCTTTTCCATTTTTAAAATCTTTAGCCTGATGATGGACAGACATCCAGGCATTATGACGCTGAGGTGAAGCTCTCCAAGCAGTCGCTGGCGGAGATCCAGAAGCTTTTGAATGAAGAGAACGACTGGACCACTGGAGCCATGGACGAGGCTCTCAGTCAAATTCTGGTCAGATTCAAACTCCACGACCACGAAGCCTGGAAGTGGCGTTTCGAAGACACGTTTCATGTAGATGCTGATACCGCCCTAAAGGTCAGTTCTTGTTAAAGCATTCAAAGATAAATTATGAAATAACTGTATTTAAATTATATTCAAAAGATTGGTCTTTTACAGCAATCTCAGAAATAATACAAAATTAATGTGTGCTGTATTTTTTTCTACAGGTTTCTTTGATTGTTCTGATTGTTGTAGCCATAATCAGCACTGAGCTCTGGTCTGTGGTCTCCTGGCTTGTCCAGTTCTGGAGAATGTTTGCTGTTTGCTTTTTTATTAGCTTGATCTGGAACTGGTTCCATCTTTATATGGTAATTATTCTTGTGCTGTTGACTGTCTATGACGTGTTTTTTAAAGCAGTACTGAACACATGACTATGAAGAGTTGAAAGGTGTGTTCACTGTATTGTACAATGAAGAGTTAAATTGGTTTAAATATTTTTTTCTTGACTAGGTTGCCTTTGCAGAACACAAGAAGAACATTGTGGAGGTGGAGAGCTTCAATGGCAAATGCACTGGGCTAAAACAACTGGACTGGAAGGACAGTTTATCAGGTGAGGAGGTGCTTAATGTAATAAGAATTTGTTAAAAACTTGAATAATTGAATTATTTATTCACCTAAATGTCATTCCAAACCTGTGTGATGTGAAACTTAAATCACTTCACAGATCTTTTTACGCTCCAAAAGTATGATAGCAGTAAGATTCTTCAAATGACGTGAAGGTTGGTCAATAATGATTTTGAGATGAACTGTTGTTCCTCCTTGTTTATTTAGAGTGGTACAGACGCACATGGACTCTTCAAGATGATCCTTGCAAAAAATACTACGAGGTCCTGGTGGTGAACCCTATTTTGCTTGTGCCTCCAACAAGGGTTTGTATCTTTTCGTTTCTAACGAGAAACTTGATAAGAGACTTGAAGTCGACTGATAATTTTGTGGTTGATAGTGAAAATATTCAGTGTAAAACAATCTGAACCTAATTAAGTACTATCTAGATTCTAGATAAATTAAAGACCATCTAGATAAAAAAATTAAAATACAGACATGTCCACCCTGGACTAAATAGCAACACTTCAAATAATATGTATGCAAATGAACACCAATAGTGCATGCAATTCTTAGTAGATATCTGATATTTTAAAAGCTGTTATCAGAACTGTAACACATAGTTGAAGATTAAATCCATTCATATTTTCTTGGGGGTTTTATTCCAGGCTATCACAGTCACCATAACCAGCTTCATCACGGATCCTTTGAAGCAAATTGGGCAGGGAATCAGCGAGTTCCTCAGAGCCCTGCTGAAGGATCTTCCAGTCACTCTTCAGTTACCTGTGCTGCTTATCATTGCACTCGCCATCTTTGTAAGAGCTGTGAACAGCAAACATATTGTAGGATCATTGATTTGTTATTGTACGAAGTCATCTTTGCTCTTCTCAGGTGTTCATGTATGGAAGTGCTCAAGCAGCTATACATCAAGCAGTTCGCTTGCCCCGACTCGGTTGGCGACGGGATCAGCCACCTCCTGCGATAGGACAGCGCCAAGCTCCTCAACTAAGGGAGCATGAGGAAGCTTGGGATAGAGGTGATGCTCCACAGCTGCTACAGGACAATAGAAACAGAGTAAATCAAGCAGGAAACCAAGGTGACCAGGGCGTCAGGGCAGCAGATGCTCATGCCCCACAAAACAGACAGGAGGACAGAAGCATGGAACTCCAACAGGAATTTTCCGGCGTTCCCAGAGGGACTCAGAGGGTAGAGACTGTGCGCGCTGCAGGTAGCATGTCCAGCGATGATGAGACTGATTTTCAGCAGCGGACAGAGGAGGTGGATCCTGGTACAAAGGAAAATGCAGAGCCTGAAGTGAAAGCTGAGGAAAAGGAGAAAAATGCATCTACTGAGGACAAAAAGACAGAACAGAAAGACACACCGAGTCCAGACAGAAGCGAGTCTGTAACCAATGTGCCTTCTGCTCAAACAGAAGTGAAAACACTTGGAGCTAATCAAGGGAATGAGGTAAGTATTATTTTTTTTAATCCCAGCCTGGTGGAGGTCTACAATTTTGGTCTTGGCCATGGTGGAGTTTGGAGTGTGGCTGTTTGAGGTTGTGGACAGGTGTCTTTTATACTGATAATGAGTTCAAACAGATGCCATTAATACAGGTAAGGAGTGGAGGACAGAGGAGCCTCTTAAAGAAGAAGTTACAGGTCTGTGAGAGCCAGAAATCTTGCTTGTTTGTAGGTGACCAAATACTTATTTTACCGAGGAATTTACCAATTAATTCTTTAAAAATCCTACAATGTGATTTTCTGGATTTTTTTTCTCATTTTGTCTCTGATAGTTGAGGTATACCTATGATGAAAATTACAGGCCTCTCTCATCTTTTTAAGTGGGAGAACTTGCACAATTGGTGGCTGACTAAATACTTTTTTGCCCCACTGTATATATATATAAACAACTACAGGTATACTACCATTCAGAAATTTTGTAAATGTGTTCCTTTAATTCAAACATTGCAGCACTTTATGTGCACTAAAAGGAGATCGACTGCTCAAAATGTCCTGAAGCTGCAGGTTACGTTTTGCAAGCTCAACACTGTATGTCTGTCATTACAGCTACAATTATATGATAGTTGATGTTATATTAAAAGGTCTGTGGTTCTGTTGCATCTGTGTTAAAGGGGTCATATGATGCTATTTTTAAAGATCATTGTTTTGTGTATTTGGTGTAACAGAATATGTAGACATGCTTTAAAGTTCAAAAAACACATTATTTTTTAAATACTGTACATTATTGTAGGTCCTCTATGCCCCGCCTCTCTCAAACGCTTAGTTTTCTACAAAGCCCCCTCCTTTGACAAGTGCAGTCTGCTCTGATTGGCCAGCTGGCCCAGTGCATTGTGATTGGCCAAACACCACAAGCACGCATCGGAAATGTAACGCCCCTTACCATAATCGCGAGCTTCAGCTTTCAAAGTAAATATCAAGACAGTTAATAATGTCGTTAGTTTTACCATTAGTTCAAGCCCGAAAAGGCAACAGAGTCGCGTGACAAACACAGTGATGATGCAGTACACAAGCCGCGATTAAGACAGCTGACGTGCTATGATTTCTGACAGGCAGTTCACTCTCCTGTGATGTGACCCTGTTCCCCTCACACACACACACACACGACGCGTTACTCTGCGCTGCGCAAAACTGCCCTTTTGAACAGTCAATAGCAAATACTTAAACTAATAATAAAACATACTTACAGTCGCTGATTCAGAAGCGCCAGATTGTCATAGCAAAGTCTGAATTGACCCTTTTTTTTCTGTGCACAGCCAGCCTTGTACTCTTCTAGGTTAAAAAATAAAATCCATAAAATGCGTTGCACAAATTTGAACATCTGGATTGTGCTGTTCTGTTGTAAATAAATCTTAACCAATGATTCCTAATTGCATCTACTTCCGGAAGGCCAAATAAAGTGCTTTTGCTTTCGCACTGAAACACACACCGTCTCTCTGACATGGCTGCTTCAACACGACTGCTGTTCCTGAAACCATGCCTTTTTTTCTTTGTGTGCCCATTTGGGCGGCATTATGCTAATATTTCCACATAGTGACGTAGATATGTGGGGGCGTGTTAGAACGAGCCGTTTTAGGTAGGCGTGGTTGACTCTTAACTTTTATAAAGAATATCTCTTTGGATTTGAGACTTTAGTCTTTGCAACTTTACAAATCTTCTTTATGCACCAAGAGCTTGTAACACTCCAAAGAGAAAGGAAAACTTGAAATCGCATCATATGACCCCTTTAAGTTTTATTTATGTATGTTGTCAATAGTGCATGTACATTTGCAGTATTCATTACATTGTGCTTGTACTGTATATCCCATCAAACCTGAAGCAATTTCATTGAATATTGCATATCAAATACATAATATGCCATCTCTCACTACTAAACACTTTGCTCATACCCTCTACTACTGTGTATGTATGTAATGTGTTTGTTTATCCTGCATCATTTTGACCAGAAATTTGTTTTGTTTCTGCAGGGAGCATCAGCAGATATTGCTGTCGAAGAAGGTTATTCAAGCTTTAAAACTCCAGTTCAAGAAACACAGCATGAAAATGATCTCTGAACACTTTTTGTATCAACATAGTTGTTTGTCATTCACTTTTAATTAAATGCAAAAAAAAAACTGATTTTCTTTTTTTAATTTCGACTTCTTTCATCACCCCTCAGCATAGAATTTACATTTTGGCAGTTTTTCTAGTTATTTATTTTGGATCAGTTTGATGATGTTTACTCAGGCTCAATTATTGTGTCAGTAATGTTTTGTTGTTTGATTTGCTTGTTTTGTTTAAATTATTTTTTATGATTATGCTTTGTAAAGTGAGCACTGTCTGAAAGCACTGTATAAATTAAATATAATAATAATTATTGTTATTATTAACGCAGTCAATTTGCTTGACACAGCTGGGGATCATGTGATCTCAACATGGCGGCGACCCATTTTATGTAGAATAAAAATCTGTAGTCTTCTTTGGCAGTGAGTGTCACATTTCTTAAAAGTGCTCTTCATTTCTTTGTGTAAAACTTTGCACATTTAACATGACTCCAGAAGTAATGCTCCAGCTTGGAAGCATTGCTAAAAAGGACATTTTAACTTACCTTGTCTACTTCACTAAAAGACACTTGCTGTATTAAAAATAGCATGTGCTCTGTTTTTGTTTTTTATTGAGACTGACGTTTCACAAGTCAGTGAGCAACTGAAAGAACGTTTTATTTAAAGGGTTACTCCACCCCAAAATGAAAATTTAGTCATTAATCACTTACCCCCATGTCATTCCAAACCCGTAAAAGCTTCGTTCATCTTCGGAACATAATTTAAGATATTTTGGATGAAAACCGGGAGGCTTGTGACTGTCCCATTAACTGCCAAGTAAATTACACTGTCAAGGTTCAGAAAAGTATGAAAGACATCGTCAGAATAATCCATCTGCCATCAGTGGTTCAATCTGAATTTTATGAAGCGACGAGAATACTTTTTGTACGTGAAGAAAACAAAAATAACGACTTTATTCAACAATTTGTCTCCTCGGTGTCTCTCCGCATCACCGTTGCGCCATTTTGGAGAATACCCACTGAATGCAAACTGCGTATCCTATTCTGTGTCAGCCGAGACACAAGGATACGTTTTCTATGTGTATTTACACTGTGATTTGAACGAAAACAGCGTGGCTGACACAGAATAGCGTACGCTGCTTGTGTTCAGTGGTTATTCTCCAAAATGGTGCTACGGTGATGCGGAGAGACACCGAGGAGACAAATTGTTGAATAAAGCCGTTATTTTTGTTTTCTTCACACAAAAATAACGACTTTATTCAACAATTTGTCTCCTCGGTGTCTCTCCGCATCACCGTTGCGCCATTTTGGAGAATACCCACTGAATGCAAACTGCGTATCCTATTCTGTGTCAGCCGAGACACAAGGATACGTTTTCTACGTGTATTTACACTGTGATTTGCTTGTGTTCAGTGGTTATTCTCCAAAATGGTGCTACGGTGATGCGGAGAGACACCGAGGAGACAAATTGTTGAATAAAGTCGTTATTTTTGTTTTCTTCACGTACAAAAAGTATTCTCGTCGCTTCATAACGTTACGGTTGAACCACTGATGGCAGATGGACTATTCTGACGATGTCTTTCATACTTTTCTGGACCTTGACAGTGCAATTTACTTGGCAGTTAATGGGACAGTCAAGTCTCCCAGTTTTCATCCAAAATATCTTAAATTGTGTTCCGAAGACCAACGAAGCTGGTGTTCAAGTAACGCTTCTGGCTGGGAACCGCATTATGTCTTGGATAACAGGTTGCTTGGAATAAGGCTCATTTGAGCAAAAGTTGCGATCTTCAATAAGCACTGGAAGCATTTGGTTTGGAAGACATCGAGCTTACTCTCGATGGCAGTAGTTGTCTTCCAATATTTGGAGCCATACAAGTGTGATCTTGGTATTTGTATTTCATATGGTGCACCTCCATATGGGTTTGAGCACAGAATATGCTTGGTTTGCTTTGATGATACTGTTTATTTCTTGTAGTCATCATCAACTGTAATTTTTCTGCCAATTAAGAAAAACTGCTCCACTGTTTCAACTCTGGAGTTCATTTTTATTAGTGTCTTTTTGCTGTTGACTTTGAGGCAGATGATTCTGTCTGTCTCTGAAGACTTTGACCTTCTGCTGCATGTCTTGGTGTCTACTTGAGAGAAACCAAATACAGTCAGCATTGTTTTCCAACACCAACCAGGTTTTCAAACGTCAATGTGAGTGTCCACTGGATCTCTTGATTTTTCTTTCATTGATTTACCAAATCAGCCATTCAGATGCCAAAGTGAAGGGTAGTGATGATCAGTGTTAGGGAAAGTTACTTTTAAAAGTAATGCATTACAATATTGCGTTACTCCATAAAAAAAGTAACTAATTACGTTACTTAGTTACTTTTTATGGAAAGTAATGCGTTACGTTACTTTTGCGTTACTTTTTAAATCTGGACAGGGCTTGCTTGTTTGTTTTTAAAATAAAAAAAGTTATATTTTTGGCAAATATAAAAGCCTTTTCACACCAAAAGTGAAATGAATACGCCTCAGGCTGAAGGGAAAGTAAATTTACGTCCGTACAGTAGAATGCAGAAGATGAAATTTCAACACACTTCAGCAGTAAAAAAGACACACAAATGTTTGTCTAGAGTAATTTTTGCTTATTAGTACGGTTGAACTGGATCATCGAAGGTCAGAAGCAAAGACATTGGTTAATAGAATGGGAATAAATACATAAAGGATATTTGTGTTGTTTAACATTTAATTATTGCAAGTTTGCGTCATATTCTGAGTTGCATTATTTATATTCATTTTGAGGAATACTGAATCTGTGTTTTTGTTTTTTTGAGTGAGATGAATTAATGCATATTCATATTTATTTTAGAACTACAGTAACATCTTCTGATTTCTGTCAACATGGGGACAGGAGAGCTGTCAATCAATAAATTGGAAAAAAATAGTAACTTGCGTTACTTATTTGAAAAATTAACTCAGATATTCTCTTGTAAATTAAAAAGTAATACGTTACTTTACTAGTTACTTGAAAAAGTAATCTGATTACGTAACTCGCGTTACTTGTAATGCGTTACCCCCAACACTGGTGATGATGAGAGGATGCAGCCTTGTTTGACAAGTGATTACCAGAAAAGCTTCAAATAACTGGTTCTGCTGGATGACATTGATTTGTGATGCTCAGAGTGAAGGCTGTCAGAAGTCCACAAATACATTGTAAAGTGTGCTGTTCCATTCATGGGATTGTTCATGTATCTGTCATAGCACATGTGGTCAATGCAGGATTTTCCTGTTCTTAACCTAGCCTGCTCTTGTCAAGAACTGGTATCTACTGCTTCAGTGGTTCATTGGATTGTACTGTTGTTTAACAACTTGTTGGTTGTTCAAATGATAAAAGACTTTGAATAGACTTTTGAAAAAAGAGCTGTGAAAATTAACTGATATAGGACCTTTATACAATGCATGCCATTATAAAGACTAAGTCTATCCCTCACAGACTTGTTTTCATCATTCTCATTCAATTCAGTTTATTGTTACAATTGCCAAGGTTCCTTTTCTTTGGTATTTTACCTCTTGCACCAGTTTTCCACATGACGAGGACATCAGTTCCACAGCTTTGGGCTCACCGCGGGCTCTTGTGAGCAGGCCACACTAGCGGACTGTCCACATTAATCCAATGATGGCCCAGTGTGGGCCAGCCCGTTTGGGCCCAGAGCAACTTAAGTATCTTTGGGCCCATGCAGGTTTTGTGTAGGCAACCCTGTAATGCAACTAGGAGAATACTAACAACATTGATTGGCCATTCATTAGCCAATCAATTGAACTGGAATGGCTCAAACCAAAAGACACCTTTTCAGAACCTGAGGCTAAGGAGGTTTGTAATTGGTAAGCTAACATGCGGTATTAGAAATAGCATATATAAATTACTTACTACACTCAGTGTTGTTTTATATAGGCCTATTTGCTTTTCAGAGGTTGTGTGAAAATACTCCTTTCAGCCAAGTCCTCCTGATTCTGAAGTTGAGAGTGAGATAATTCAAGAAAATAAAGAGACAGAGCGGGTGGACGAAAGGAGTGCTACCTCCGTCTGCTAACTAGTTGAGAGTCCTCGGAGGAAGAGTGAGCTTTGCCAATAAATTTAGCACACCAAAACATATTTTCAGCAGAGATCAAAGTAATAATTTGATATTTTTTTTATTTTTATGTTAATTTGTATTATTTTTATATATTTATATGTTTCTTGTTACAGCAACTGACTGCTGGGGGTGCCCCTCCCAGCCAGAATGCACCAGGTGAAGCTGATCTGTTAAATGGCAGAGAAAAGACTTGGTCTGAATGAAAATGCAAATTAATTATTTGCCACTAGGTGCCGCTTTTGGAGCTGTAAAAATAGCTGTTTCTCCGGTAATGGCTGTACACAAAGCAGCACTGCCTCACAAACTTTATCAGGCATTACAGGCATGACGACATGAAATCGACCAATCACCGCAGATTAGCGTCACGCAAAGGAGGGGTTTGGAAAAATGAATCGTTGAGGCCTGGCATATGTAATACAGTGTTTTTGGCCATTTTCGCAGATATGTGTAAACGCGAATCGTTTCGAAAACATTGTCGTGTATACGTGAAACTTTTTCGTTTTTGACTACATCGTTGTCATGTAAACGTAGCCTCAGAGTCCAAGTTTTTATTAACACAGCAGCTTAACACAGTGTCTAGTTTCCTTCTCTCAGTGAGGTTTGAGTATAAAGATAAGATCATTGACAGATGATCTTGTCAATATTATATATAGTAAACAAAGTGTCCAAAGCTGAATCTGAGCTTTATATGGCCTACACCAGTTAATTAACGTGTAGCACCAACCACCAGAACAGCCAGGCACAAGAACAGTTTTTTCGCTCAGGCTATATTCAGCCCGAATAATTAAAACTCTCATAACTATACATTATCCACCATAACTGACATATTTATACACAGAATCCGAAATGTGTACAGTGTAAACTGCACACTTGTAAATAACATATCTGTACATTAATTTAAACAATTAAAAATGTTTCTATACTTCTACTTCTGTATATAGGGCATTATATAATTTTCTGTTTTTCTTATATTAGTGTTATATTCCATCTCTACTGTGTTATTCCTATGTATGTCTGCACATCATGTATGTTTGCAGTATGTCTGTACTTTCTTCTGCACTGGAAGATCCTGTCGTCAAGTTAAATTCCTTGTATGTGTAAACATACTTGTTAATAAAGCTCTTTCTGACTTCTGACTTCTTACAGTGCTTTTCTTTTTCTTCACTTTTTTTCAGTGAAAAAAGGCTTCGTTCAAACTTTGCATTGTAAAATATCTTAGGCTACTCGCGTAATCCACGTTCTCTGAACAAGGAACGAAACGCTGCGTAGCTATGATGCAGTGGGAACACCCCCTTTGTGTGCCAAATGTCTGAAGCCCGAATGGAAACATGCCAATACATTGGCTCCACCCGACGTCACCACGTCGCCAAATCTAATACTAGTGAGTGTGCCATCTGCTCCTCAGATTTCCTGCCGAAAAAGTCCTGTCGGCA